CCCAGGGAGGTTCTCTAACAGCTATCTGAGGAGTTGCCAGTGAAGTTATCACTAGGCTGTAATATAAACACTGCATTTTCTCGAAAAGACAGTGTTTACAGCAAAAAGCCTTAAAGGACCACTATAGGCACCCAGACCACTTCACCTTAATGAAGTGGTCTGGGTGCCTGGTCCAGCTAGGGTTAACCCTTTTTTTATAAACATAGCAGTTTCAGAGAAACACTGAGGGTTAATCCAGCCTCTAGAGCCTCTAGTCCAGCCGCTAGAGGCGCTTGCGTGCTACTCACTGTGAAAATCACAGTGAGAAGACGCCAGCATCCATAGGAAAGCATTGTAAATGCTTTCCTATGAACTGGCTGAATGCACGCGTGGCTCCTGCTGCGCAAGCGCATTCAGCCGATGACGTCACAAGGAAGGAGGAGAGGAAGAGGAAAGCTCCCCGCCCGGAGCTGGAGAAAGGTATGATTTTAACCCCTTCCTCTCTCCAGAGCCCGGCGGGAGGGGAACCCTGAGGGTGGGGGCACCCTCAGGGCACTATAGTGCCAGGAAAACGAGTATGTTTTCCTGGCACTATAGTGGTCCTTTAAGGTAATGATTCTACTCACCAGAACTCAATAAGCTGTAGTTGTTCTGGTGACTATAGTGTCCCTTTAATGTACATGACGCAGTCACCGCACATCATGTCCCAAATTCTCTTCTCTGAAGAGCATTGGATTGGATCATCATGGATAAGGCCATGGCTCCTTAAAGGACCACTCTAGGCACCCAGACCACTTCAGCTTAATGAAGTGGTCTGGGTGCCTGGTCCAGCTAGGGTTAACCCATTTTTTCATAAACATAGCAGTTTCAGAGAAACTGCTATGTTTATGAATGGGTTAAGCCTTCCCCCATTCCCTCTAGTAGCTGTCTCATTGACAGCCACTAGAGGCGCTTGCGTGCTTCTCACTGTGATTTTCACAGTGAGAGCACGCCAGCGTCCATAGGAAAGCATTATGAATGCTTTCCTATGTGACCGGCTGAATGCGCGCGTAGCTCTTGCCGCGCGTGCGCATTCAGCCCAGGAGGAGGAAGGGAGGAGGATCGGAGGAGGAGAGCTCCCCGCCCAGCGCTGGAAAAAGGTAAGTTTTTACCCCTTTCCCCTTTCCAGAGCCGAGTATGTTTTCCTGGCACTATAGTGGTCCTTTAATGACATTGTGGAAGGTGGAGAGGTAAGAAAACGGTAAGTGAAACTTTTATTTTATTCATTTTATTTGAAAAATGGTGGACTCTATCTAACTAGCGTTAAGAACACAGGAATTTGTTTTCATAAGACTATAGTATTCCATTAAATGCTATGGATGCATTATTAACCCCTTAAGGACACATGGCATGTGTGACATGTCATGATTCCCTTTTATTCCAGACGTTTGGTCCTTAAGGGGTTAAACATACCACTTAAGCTCATTGATGGGGTCTGGGTGCAGTGTCCCAGTCCCTTTAACCCTGCAATTGTAATTATTGCAGTTATTGAGAAACTGCAATAATTACATTGCAGGCTTAACTCCACCTCTAGTGGCTGCCTACCAGACAGCCATTAGCGCGCATCCATGTCCTAAGCAGACTTTTGGTCTGCAGAGGAGCGGAGGCTCTGGAATCAGATGAGTGACAACGGGTTTATAACCCTTTATTGGCTTCAGGTGGGAGAGGTCAAGAAGGGGGGCAGGGGGGAGAGAGGGTTTATATTCCCAGCACTATAGTTTCCCTTTAATATAACATTGTGTTGGGATAATACAGCAGGTGCAGTGTTTGTAAATACAAGTATATATAATACTATAAATCCGTAAAAAAATGTGATGTCATAATATTATTCATAGAATATGTTAGGGTTTCACTAGTTAGAGGGAGAACTTCCTAAGGTAACAGAAAAGAGACCCCACTCGGGGACTACTGAGAGCAGATGGTGGGGATTGCCGGCATTTCCGGGTCACCAGAGATCAACTCAAAATGCCACCGCCCTTTGCTGATCTCGTCCTTCTTCTCTCTTACCTGCTTAACCCTGTCCCCTAGGACTTCTCTATACCTATTTTCTCAAACCTCTAGTAGATAGAGCTTGGAATGATATTGCAGGGAATGTAATTATCTTAAGCTAATACAGTCCTATAGCACCAGACACTCCACATAGGCTCAGGGACCACACCATTAAAGGACTACTCTAGGCACCCAGACCACTTCATCTTAATGAAGTGGTCTGGGTGCCAGGTCCAGCTAGGGTTAACCCTTTTTTTAATAAACATAGCAGTTTCAGAGAAACTGCTATGTTTATAAATGGGTTAATCCAGCCTCCAAATCCTCTAGTGGCTGTCTCATTGACAGCCGCTAGAGGCGCTTGCGTGATTCTCAGTGTGAAAATCACAGCGAGAAGACGCAAGCGTCCATATGAGACCGGCTGAATACGTGCGCAGCTCTTTCAGCCGAAGGGGAGGAGAGGAGGTGGATAGGAGGAGGAGAGCTCCCCGCCCGGCGCTGGAAAAAAGGTAAGTTTTAACCCTTTCCTCTCCCCAGAGCCGGGCGGGAGGGGGACCCTAAGGGTGGGGGCACCCTCAGGGCACTATAGTGCCAGGAAAACGAGTATGTTTTCCTGGCACTATAGTGGTCCTTTAAGTTATTCACTGGCAAAAGAGGGGTACACTTATTATTAAAGCAGAGTACATGGGACACTTCACTATACTTGTCTTCTTCATTTCTTCTATCACTTTCTCACTTTCTTTCATAAAATTTGTGATGGCTAATTTGAATGTTTAAAAGTTATGGGCAATGAGAATAATGTGTTAAGCGATATCACTCTACTCCTGATGTCATTGTCATATTAACGTGTATGTTTCAATGATTGAACAGGAATATGTTAGGGTTTTAAGATGGACATAGCATGTGGTATAAATCGGGATTCTGGTAGGGGCTCAAGTACAAATATGTGTGGGGTAAAACTTAACCTTGGACTAAAGCCTCTGGTCTTTTCGCAGCATGTAATCAGTTGAATGAATGGAACCACAACCCACGTAAACATGGAACCTGACTGTAACTGTGCATGGGAAAGTTTTCTATGGGTCCTAGAAATTTGAAGATCGCTATGGATCTTGAATGTACAATACTGTAACATAGAATAAAATGGTTTTCTTGCTTCATCAATTGAATATATGGTGTTTAATACCAATTAAATGGCAGACACTCAGGACACCCCTTCAATTGTATAGATGTTTTCATCTGCAGCTTAGCATTTTTTGTATGATCCAAAAGATGCGTAGTACTGCTAAGGAACATTCCAGCTGTATGGAAGCAGGCTAATAAGAAACTAAGGTCAGGCAAACCAGAGAGGCAGACTGAATATAATAACACAAAGAACAGAAACTACCAAATGAATAAGTTCAGGGATCAAATAGATATAAGTGCAGACATTAAATGACAATAAGGTTTAAGTTGCATTGTCCATAAAACCAAAAAATAATTTCTGGAAAAGAAATAAATAGATAGCACACAGCTGGCACAAATTTTCTAAAATCTATGAATGTGTTCCATGTTATAACATGAATTTAATAACATTTAAAAATAAGAATGTAACTATACTGTGACAGGTAACATTAGGTGTCTTGTATAATCCATCTGGCTTCTCTTTGGGCCATGCATTTTAATAAAGCCCCCATTTTGTTTGGACAGCACATAGGAACTATAGAATGTCTGGCCCCATAGTTTTTTATCAGATTCCCAGGTAGTTACAGTTATGTAATTGTGTGCATGTGTATATATATATTTTTTTTTTAAACTATATTGTTTTGGCCCAGATAAAATAATAAAGTGTTTTGGACCAGGGTATGACGGTATGTTTCAGATACATTGGTTTAATTGGAGAACTATAATGTTACTGGTTATCAGCAGTAACAAACACGGGCTACCACACAATGAAAATGTAACAAATGTGCGATGGGACATACTAGACCTATGACCAAAATGTTGCTAACGTTTCATAGATGCAATCAGTAGTGACACAGGCTCGAATTGTCCAGGATTGATTACATCAACTCGCCAAAGTGATCTGTCCGCTCACCAGATCTCAATCCAATTATGCATATTGTGGTCCAAGTTATTAGACAGGAGCAGCACCAACCAATTAAACACAACTGTGAGAGCCACTGAAAGCAGATAGACCAAGATTCCTGATTGGGGTCCGGACCCAAACTAACCATGCTTTTTTTTTGCAATTTAATATTATCATGATATAATGTTTTTACTTTTGTCCACTGTAAATAGTTCTATATTTGGATTTGCTAAAGGTCTTGTAATATTTGTGTTTGAGTAAATTGAAATGTCTAGAATAAAAGGAAATGTCTGGAGTTTATAAACAGCCAAGCAAACAAAATGCTTATAGGTCTAGACTCTAGAGTAATATGACATAAGAAGACAGATGTTCCTGGATCTGTAACAAGGCTGCAGACAGAAATATTTGCGTCAGTATCCTGGACTCATGTACAGGTTTGACTGTGAGAATAACCTAAATTTGTGCTCCATCACCTCTGCGACAGAAATGGAGCATCACCCAGCTTCTACTGTTTGGCTATGAGCTATTGAGTGGTTCCCAGTCCATTCCTCAGGCCACACCAACAGTCCAAGATGTAGGTATATCCCAAACCTGAGGATACCAACAAAACCTAAACAGTACTTATGCTTGATGACTTGGGCCCCAGTGTAATATTTTAGATCAAATTTGCAAATTATCACAATCTGCTAGAAAACCTTTTCAAATGATTTTTCTACAAAAATCCCCAAAGATGTTAAAGGGAACCTCTTGTGGAAACAACTTTAGCTCTTTTTAAAAAGCTTAACATTCCATCTATAGGACGTGCTAGCAGTTATTTTTGCTAGCAAATGTATAATTTGGAGAAAAACCTATTTGAATATTCTCCACCCATAGCAACCGCAGCACATACTCTATGGTTGCTGTGGTAACTCCCCAGTAAATGCTGCTAGTGCTGGCAATGGAGTATGGTAACAGAGTGGCATGACATCACTCAGTTCAGATGTAACAAAGCCTGGGGAAGTGTTGCCAAGCAGGGCAAATAAGCACCAAACAGAGGGGGTGTGTGGGCGGACCAGCAGTGGGTGTTACTAAAGTGTAAAACCCACCTATTTAATGAGATCACGGAGGGAGAACGAAGGAAGGGCCAGCTAAGACGTGGCAGTTTCTCTTTTAGGGATGGCTTCTGTAGACAAATAATTTGAAAAGTTTTTCTAACAGATTGTGATAATTTGAAAAGCTGCATTCACTGCACACATATATATATTCTTGAAAACATAAAAAATTCTTACTGGCATTTATATTTTGTGCATTTACCTTAATAAAAATAAGATTTGCAAAAAAAATAAATAATAAGCATGTTCAGTTAACAGTAGATTTGTGTAGAAATAGTTTATTTTTAAAAAATGGTAAATGTACAGAATATTAGTAAGTTATTGGCCATCGGCCTGAAAGTTCACAGATTATTGGTATCAGCTCTAAAAAATCAATATCGGTCGATCCCTAGTCTGTATGTATGTATGTGTGTCTGTGTGTGTCTGTATGAAGTGGTGGTGGGGGGCCCCATGGATCAGTTTTGTACCGGGGCCCCATGGATTGTGTGTACACCACTGGTATAGAAGTCAGGTATTATGTGATTCTTGCATGTTACTATATGGCCATGTTCGAATAATGTGGCTACGGTAATATTTTTTAAAAAAAACTCTTTTGAGAAACCTTCTAGCACACATATGACAGGTTGACTTGAATAAAGGAAGTGTTTTAACCCCTCTTTACAAAGAACTTCTACTGTATTTTTAACCAGGCATAAAATGACAATTTTGTTGGGTAGGTATTTCTACTAAAGTGCTTATCATTATTCTACACAAAATACTATATGAGCATAATTTTCCATTTTTCATAGCATTAACTTCAAGTAATAAGACAGTGCATTATTTCATTCTGCATCAGGTTGTTTCCCAGTAAGGCTGTGAAGTCTGTATAAATGGAATAAATGCATGTATGGGATTCATCAATGCCAAGAATCACACAATGAGCTGATGACTGCTTTAGAATTAAATAGGACAAAATTTAAACAAGAACAATGAATACTGCATACTCAGTGTGAACAAAATACAGTCGTATTCTGCTTGGAACAGTTTTTAGAGCCTTTTTATAAAAAAGTAGGAGAAATCCTGGAGCGTCCAGTCACACATTTCTAAAATGTTACCACCAGCCCAAATAAAAAATATTAAATGTATTTAAACTATTTAAAACATAAAAAAAAAACACAATGCACATATAAGTAAAAAAACACGTATAGAAAGTGGATCGCTAAAATGGGGTATCTTACCCTTAAATAACACTTATGCATATGCAGGAGAGCAGCATACACAAAAACAAAATAGACAAAATATAGTGCAGATGGCACAGTGTCCAGAAGTGAGGTATAGCTCAAATAACTAGGAACACTCACATGAAGCAGAGCCATTAATTTTTTTAAATTGTGTGAGGGGAGTAAGGGTAAACCCATAGGAGTGTTTCTGAGCTGCTAATTTGTGTCTAAGTACTACACCTTTGCTGTTTACATAATAAACACATGACCATGTTCCAACTGCTAAATTTTAGGATGTATTATGCCTTCGGTCCAACTAAATCCATGTACATTCTCATAACAACTGTGTACTTCATCATTTTCCAACACAGTCTTCTAGGCTAACCAACAGTCCACCATTTATTGATTTCCTACTTCTGTTCCACTAATTATAAATACAGAACCTAAACCATACATGAAGTGAGTTAAAGCAGCACTGTCATGACGAACTTACCTTTCCCCAATCGATTCCTCTCATCTCCCTCTGTCAGGATCTGTTCTTCATTTCTTCCTGTCTGCTTTAGTTATCTTTAAAACACAAGACAAAGTAGGGACTATTTTGTCTTATGTATTTTTCCCACGCTTGACCAGCTTTGACCCAGGAGAGGAGCAAAGTCCACTCCATTTCCTGTGGTCAAAGCAATTTTCCCACAATTCTCACCTTCCTCCTGCTGCTACATTCGGCGTTCGAATGAGAACAGAAGGAGTTTTGTTTCGGATCGGAATTTAGAATGAATGAAACTACGATCCTATTCGTGCCGCGAGTAGATAGCTCCCTAATTCCCACGGTATTAGGGAGCTATCTACTAAAAGGCTGAAAGACTAAAGATTACTTAGTTTGAGTAATTCAGGGAGATTACAATCTCCCTTCTGCCCCTACTTGCTATACCGCGAGTAGGGACATGTCTACTATACAGCGAGTAGCCTATTGTCCCCCCCCTCAGCTCCACCCATGAACAGTGGGTGGGTGCCCTCAGATCCAATGGGGGGAGGACCTACTGCCTCCCCCTGGCCCCTACCCATGATCGGCGGGTGGGGGTGCTAGTAAAAATAGGGGGGGGGACCTAGTGTCCACCTTGGCCCCCACCCATAAGAGGCTGGTGGGGGCCCAAAATGACAATAGAGGGATGCAGTAGGTCACCCCTAATGTCATATTGGGCCCCCACCCACTGCTCATGGGTGGGTGTTGTGGGGGGACAATAGGGCTCCCACCCACCACTCATGGGTGGGGCCTGGGAGGGGATAATAGGTCATCCCCCCTATTTTCACCAGGGCCCCCACCCGCAGGGCCGGCGCTACCTGTAAGGCGGACTAGGCAGCCGCCTAGGGCGCCCCTTGGGAGGGGGCGCCGCCAGGAGCGCCGGCCCCCCTAATGCTGCAGCCGCCCGAGCGCTCTGTAAAGAGCCTCAGGCGGCTGCAGCTTTGCCCGGGCGGTGCGTCCATGAGGGCGGACCGCACCGCCCGGGCGCAGCCTGAGGAGAGGCTGACAGGAGGGAAGCGCTCAGCGCTCCCACCTGTCAGCTCCCTCTCTGTAGCGTGGCCGAGCCCTCTATGGCATGGTCCGACCGGTACAGAGAGCAGCTGTCTCCTGTACCCGGCCGGACTAACAGGAAGTGAACACTGAGTGTTCACTTCCTTTTAGTCCGGCCGGGTACAGGAAACAAAAGCAACCTGTACCCGCGGACCAATAGAGGGCTCGGCCACGGTACAATAGAGGTAGGGAGGGTGGGGGGAATAAATGGATAGGGGAGGGAGGGGGGGAGGAACAAATGGACAGGAGGGGGGGAGGAATAAACCGGACAGGAGGGGAGGGGGGAGGAATAAAACGGACAGGAGGGGAGGGGAGGAAATAAACTGACAGGAGGGGAGGGGGAGGAAATAAAACGGGGAAGGGGAGGGGGGAAATACCGACAAGGAGGGAGGTGGGGGAACAAAATGGACAGGAGGGGAGGGGGGGGGGATAACGGACAGGAGGGGAAATAAACGACAGGAGGGGGGGAACAAACGGACATGGAGGAGGGGGGAACAAAATGGACAGGGGGAACAAAACAAGGAGGGAAATAAATGGACAGGGAGGGGGGGAATAAATGGGACAGGGGACAAATGGACAGGAGGGGAGTGGGGGGGAACAAAATGGATCGGGGGGAACAAACGGACAGGAGGGAGGTGGGGAACAAAATGGACAGGAGGGGAACAAATGGACAGGAGGGGGAGGGGGGGGAACAAATGGACAGGAGGGGAGGGGGAAATAAAATGGACAGGAGGAGGGGGAGGAATAAATGGACAGGGAGGGGGGGAATAAATGGACAGTGGGGGGGGGATAAATGGATAGGCAGGGTGGGGGGATAAATGGACAGGCAGGGTGGGGGGAATAAATTGACAAGGTGGGGGGGAGAAATTGACAGGGAGGGGAATTGACGGGGTTAGGAGGGGGAATGAGAGTGGGGAGGGGAGAAGAGAGTTACAACGGGGGAGACAAGAGTGACAAGGGAGGGGGAGAAGAGAGGGACACGCAGGGGAGAAGAGAGGGACACGCAGGGGAGAAGAGAGTGACAAGGGAGGGGGAAGAAGAGAGGGACAAGAGGGGGGAGAAGAGAGGGACAAGAGGGGGGAGAAGAGAGGGACAAGGGGGGGAGAAGAGAGGGACAAGGGGGGGAGAGAAGAGAGTGACGAGGGAGGGAGAGGGGGAGAAGAGAGGGACAAGGGAGGGGGGAGAGATTGACATCCATCACACACACACACAATGCACCCCTTGCACACAGAAAAACGCACAATGCATTACACACACACACACACACAAGCAATTCAACCCTTACACACAATGCATCCCTTACACACACAGAAACACAATGCATTCCTTACACACACTCAATACACCCCTTACAGACGCACACACTGCATCCCGTACATACATTGAAACACACATTGCAGCCCTTACACATACAAACACAGATTCACACAATGCATTCCTTACACACATATCAGGACATCCCCTACTCCTGTGAACAAAATAATTGGTGGAACATGAAGGTGGACCCTGGGGCCCAGACCTTGAGCTGTGTAAAGGGCCTTAAAAAAATGGAGCTGCTTCCCGTTCTCCCAGAACACAAACAGCCTCCAGAGAGCCTGTTCTACACCAGACAAGTGGAGCCAGACTGCAGCTAGAGCCCATCACCATCCTCATCTGATTGTAAGTAGGCAATCTAGTATATTATTCGTGGCACTAAGCTCTAATTTACCTCACATTAAAGGGACACTTTAGTCCCCAGAACCACTGCTGCTTAATGTAGTGGTTCTGGTGTCTATAGCCTGTCCCTGCAGGCCTTTTAATGTAAACACGGCGGCACTGCAGCACTTGCGTTAGTTAAAATGGGGCATTGTGATGTCATATGGGGGGGGTGGGGCGGCAAACTTTACTTTTGCCTAGGGCGGCAAAAATCCTTGCACCGGCCCTGCCCACCCGCCGCTCATGGGTAGGAGTCAGGGAGACAGAAGGGGGGTCAATAGGTCATCCCCTATTGTCATTTTGGGCCCCCACCCACTGCTCATGGGTGGGAGAAGGGGGAGGGACAATAGTTCTCCAACCCTATTGTCACTAGGACCCCCATGCGCTGCTCATGTGTGGACTCTGCTCCTCCCCTGGGTCATAGCTGGTCAAGCGTAGGAAAAATACAAAATCTTTCCAGAAAACTAGAGCAGTTAGGAAGAAATGAAGAACAGATCCTGAGAGAGAAGAGGAATCAATAGGAGCAAGGAAAAAGAAATCAAGTCTGCATAAATAGCAGAAAAATGTAAGGAGTCATTA